TCCCTACAATTTGGTATCATCCACGAACTTAATAATTTCACCCCCTCATCCAAGTCATTAATGAATATATTAAAGAGCACGAGCCCAAGCTCCAATCCTTGGGAAACACCAGTAGAGACGGCCCTCCAGGATGAGACCATCCCATCAGTTACCAGCCAGAGGGTGGTAATTTTTCTATGCTTTTAAGTCCTTTCTCACTGCAGAAACTATTTATGAATTGGAGCCATTAAACATATTTTGTATGTAAACTTTGTATATGTATTTAGATGCATATCTGTAATGCATTGATTCCAATATTAAATATTATGGCTAAGTATTAGAGAATCTGCTCAGTATCACAGTATAATGTACTGGCTAAGTATCATGCATTTTTCACAGGCAGTTTTAAGTTGCATTATTACCATATTATGATAGAAATTGAGCTCGGACTACTAAAATCATTTACTTCCTAAGTAGATAAAGGTAATTAGCTGTGTTAATATGAAGTCAGGCCGGGCAGGGTGGTACCTTATAGACTAACTTGTTCAGAGAGGCAGGAGCTTTCATACTACAGCCTGCTTTATCTGTCTGCTCATAGCACCTGATGAAGTAGGCTGTAGCGTACAAAAGCTCATGCCTCTTTGAATGAGTTAGCCTGTGAAGTGCCACCCTGCTTTACCTTCTGCCTAATTTTATTAATATTATTGTTTAATATCCCTCAGGATAGAACCTAGTCATTGCCTTTATCTGTGTAAAACAGATTTACTTTGAAAAGGGAAAAAAGCTGGGAATGCAATTAATAATGAAATTCATTGGAGGATAAATAATATAAGGTTGCTTTGACAAAGTTACACTCAGAATACTAGCATTACGCCATAACTTGAAGTGTTTTATTTTTATAAGACCTTACTGTTCTTATGGCTAAAGCTATGTGAACAGGTCACAGGCCCTTAAACCTACTGAAAATAAAAAGTCCTTTTCTATGTTTTAATCACATAGGTTCCCACCAGAAATATGGCTAGGTTTGGTTTTGGAGCTGGTTTTTTTTAAACAGTTAGGTTTTGGTATAAAATATATTTAGCAATCTGAGATTTTTCCAGCACCCACAGAAGTCGATGCCAAATCTTCTACTGCCCGTTGTGTGGACAAGGTAAAGATTTTTGGCACATAACAATTTTTCTAAGAAACAGGCTGCTTCTAATCAGCGGGGTCTTGTTTCAGCTATCACTGAAGTCAAAGGAAAATGTTGCCATTGATTTAAACTGAAGCAGGATCAGCCCCTCTGGCCTTGCTTATACAAGAGGGGTTTTTTTCCCCTTAAAATTTCTCACCCTGCTTAGCACTGATGCAGCTGCAGTGGTGGAAGTAGTGATGTATGCATGCTGATGCTGCCAGTTGGCTTCGTGAGCATGGTTAGCTAATGTTGATTAAAACCCACACACCTGGTCTATGATAATCCCAGTATTGCTGCTACCAGTAAGTGGAATTGTACTACCATTGGTAGCACTGAGAGGAAATTTTAAAATAAAATGTCCAGTTCTCATTCTCAGGGATATTAAGATCCCTACATGCTGCTTCAGCCATAGTTGAGGTGTGATACATTTATACCTGTTGTTCTAATGTTCACATTTCATTGCACGTTAAGGCCATGTCCAGTTATCTTATTCTGAAGCTCAAGTGGCTTACATTATATAAGTACATAATAAAACAGCCCATTTTAGATGACTGTATAATGTCATTTATTTAAAAAACCTGCCAACCAGTAGTGATCTAAAATTGAAAACGATTCAAAAGAGACATGTTGGTTAATCCCAATGCATAGTCCATGTTTTAACAAATTTAGTAATTGTCATAGTTTGGAAAAACTTCTTCAAATCTCATCCAGCTTCTTGATTAAATTAATCCATGAGTTTGGGTGAGAGACCTGCTAGGGTTTCTATTTATATATTATGTGCCCTTTATTTTAAACAGTTGTTGCCTCCCTCATACTTTTGACATTTTAAATAATAGAAATAACTCCTTTCTTTATAGATTAGTAGCCCAGGGGTCTTCCATAAAACAAATTTTCACATGTATTCACTTGCTAGCTTTCCAGGCAGAGCAGAAATGTTAAATTTCATTCTAGAGCACTTGATTCAGTCTTGTATGCATAAGAACTGCACAGCAAAGTAGTTTGTAGTCTTATTTTACTCTGTCTCAGACTATCCTACTTACCCTTTTTCTTCACCTAAAGGGAAAGGAAATTGCTAATAGTGAGTTTCAGTAATAAGATTGTCACAGAAATTCACAAAAACCAGGCAAGTCCAAGATAAAGCTGACTCCATTGTTCACTTTGAATGTCCTGGTTTGTGGCTTTTCTCTTTCTTTCACAATGTTAAAATGTATTTAAAAAGATTATTGTATGTAATGTTTTTGTCTGGTTTTGTCTCTAGAGGAAAATGTGCTGTATTCACATTGGTAGAAGCTGGAATCATAACTTTACAACTCTAGCTGATTACTTTATCCTCAAAATAAATTAAACAAGAAAAGTGAATGAACACTGATTTCTAGGATTTGGTGTTTTGTAGAAGCTGAAATACGGAGATGTGAAACTGCCATTCTCCTATGGAAGAGCGAAAATTGTAAGATAGAGAGCACTAATTTCTGAGCGAGCTTTTATGGAGGGGAAAAATCCTTAAATGATACAGTCTCATCAGAACCCTCTTGTTAACGGGTATTTTTGTTTATTTTTTCTCTCAAATTATGAGAAAATATCATGTATGAATTTATAAATAATTACTTCAGTTTATTTTTCTTTTGTATAAGCTGCCCGATACCTCGCTATGCTGTATAAGTTGTGTTTTATGGAACAGTGTGAGTATGAAATAAAAAAGCTAATTACTTTTCCTTTTTTTAATCATCTGTGGATGCCACTATGAAAGCTGACATTGTTGAAGCCACTACAGAGTTTTCTATGAATTCTTGTAAGAAAATGCTTTGTTATATATAAACCTGAATAAAGAGATTGTATTGATAGAGACATTGGATAAGAACATTTAAAGACTATTCTTTAGGTTTAAAAGAAAAGGCTTGCTGTAAAATGGTGCATTATTCCATTTATTAAAGATCATATTAATGACAAAATCTGTTTCATGAGTTTTTGGCA